TGCTCCCCGCCAACGACTCTTACCACGGCCGAAACTGCAGCGCCGAGGAATGGAGCTACCAAGATGCCACCCCCCTCTCCGGGAAGATCGTGCTCGCCGTCGTCCTGGCGCTCGTCACGCTGGCCACGGTGCTCTCCAACGCCTTTGTCATCGCCACGGTCTACCAGACGAGGAAACTCCACACGCCGGCCAACTATCTCATCGCCTCGCTGGCCGTCACTGACCTCCTCGTCTCCATCCTCGTCATGCCCATCAGCACCGTGTACACTGTGACCGGCAAGTGGACGCTGGGCCAGATCGTCTGCGATATCTGGCTGTCCTCGGACATCACCTGTTGCACGGCGTCCATCCTGCACCTCTGTGTCATCGCCCTGGACCGCTACTGGGCGATCACCGACGCCGTCGAGTACTCCACGAAACGGACTCCAAAGAGGGCAGCGGGCATGATCGCTCTGGTATGGATCTTCTCCATCTGCATCTCCATGCCCCCTTTGTTTTGGCGGCAGGGGGAAGGGGGGGGAGTGCTTTTCCCGTTTGGGGAAAAACGGTGTACTCCACGGTGGGAGCCTTCTACTTCCCCACTCTGCTGCTGATAGCCCTCTACGGGAGGATCTACGTGGAAGCCAGATCGCGGATTTTGAAGCAGACGCCAAAGAAAGCAGGTAAAAGACTAACGCGGGCTCAGTTAATCACAGACTCCCCGGGGTCGTCGTCCTCTGTCACGTCCATAAACTCCAAGGCCCCCGAGGGATCCAGCGAAACGGGCTCTCCCGTGTACCTGAACCAGGTGAAGGTGAAGGTCTCGGATGCTCTGCTGGAGAAAAAGAAGCTTACGGCCGCTAGAGAGCGGAAAGCTACAAAGACTTTAGGGATTATTTTAGGAGCCTTCATCGTCTGTTGGCTGCCCTTTTTCATCATCAGCCTGGTGTTGCCTATTTGCAAGGACGCTTGCGGGTTGCACATGGCCATCTCTGACTTTTTCACGTGGCTTGGATATCTCAACTCCCTCATCAACCCCATCATCTATACTATGTCTAACGAAGACTTCAAACAAGCTTTCCACAAACTCATACGTTTCCGATGCACAAGCTGAAGATTTTGAAATGCGATGTGTTCTCCGGGGCTGCCCCCATGCACGCCC